CTGTACAGGAAGGAATTGGGAGGGATGAAACCCTCTTTAATGGTCACACATGCAGAGCACACAGCACAGACAGTGAAATTTGGCCTCTGCATTTAACCCATCCTAGTACCAGGAGTCTAGTACTAGGAGGAGTGGGCAGCACAGTACACAAATACATCAGCTAATCGCTTCAGGAATGAAACAAATATACCTTTTAAAGTCTAATTTACAAACCACTGTGTGTCTGAAAAGGTACCGTATAATATATTATATGCATGATTAATATTACAGAGCACTACTCATTTAGGGGACAAGAATATTTTCGTCTCACAGTTTGATCATGGCGTTTCTAAAATGACTGGATTAAATTAAGTGCATCCATAAAAATTCATGATTAAGTCACATGAAGCTAAACATTTAAAAAGTTAACAGGGCAAAAATGTCAAATATTCTGCTACACTTTCACTCGTATAATTTTGTTTGTAAGTAAAATAGAGGGACTTACCCTGGCTCGGACCTCACACTGCCTGAACCTGCACTTCTGTCTGATTTTGTTGGGGCCTCCAAACTTCTTCATGTCCTTACAGAAGTCACACGTGGCGCAGTCCTCCGTCCTCTTGCACGGCTCACACTCCCCACACATTCGCACTGAACGCTTCACCTGACGAAAAGCAAACAATGGACAATAAGAGCCATTGCATCCTAATAAATGTGCTTTGTTTTACATCCTACATAACATTGAGGAAGATGAAGACCAGTCAAATTGACAGCTGAACAATAGGGCTGCACAATATATAAAAAATCTATTGTAATCTATATTAGCATTTGCAGTTCATGTATCTCAAAGACTGCTTGAACTGCCATACATGCTATTAATTGTCCCATTCATTAACGCTCTGCATGTTCAAATATGTGGCCAATCAGATGGAGCCCTGGTGCTCTAGATTCAATCATTCGTAATCATTTGAAAGATCTCACGCTCTTTATTTTGTATACTTTTTTGATGCAGTCAAATCTTAAAGGTAGGGTAGGTAAGTTTGAGAAACCGGCTCGAGATCGCTAGAATTTGAAAATACACAACCGGAGAAAATCTGCCACTTCCTTACAGAGCCCCTCCTCCAACACACACGAACGCGCACATGACCAATGAGGGCACGAGATAAGTTTGTGCCCCGATGGAAGGCTGACAGGCAGGTAGGCCATCCAGTTATTTTAGCCGGGCCGGCTAAAATGATTGGTCGTGCTTTTTACAGTATTACGGCTTCCACAGATGACATTTATTTATGGATTTTTTGTCAAAGCACTTAAGAAATTCATTGCTATCGGGATGTTAAGAGCATTCCATGGAATATAACAAAAAGTGTATCTCGAGCCGGTTTCTCAAACTTACCTACCCTACCTTTAATAATTAGGTCAGAAGTGCGACTTACTTTAGATCCACGCCGCCTTTCACTCTTATAGTCAGGAGTACTCGGGGTGCTGCTGTACTGTCTGTCCGACTGTCTGTCCGACTGTCTGTCCGACTGTCTGTCCGATTGTCTGTCCGATCCTCTGTCATACTCAACCTCCTTCTCTCGGTTTTTCTTTGTTCTGTACTTTATTTCCAGAGAGGGGTTTTTACCTGGTGATAGGGGGAATAGTGACGCAGGATTGTCATGACTTTGTGATGTACTTAATGTTAAGCATGGCATTTTCAAATGCTGTGACAACAGAAAAAAAATCTTCTCATCACCTTTGCATTTCATGCAATACCATTCTCTGATTGCCTTCGCCTTCTTCTCAGTGATGTTAATGCAGTGGCCATGGAACCACTCGTTACACTTGTCACAGCCTCTGTCAGTGGGAGAAGCAAATAAAAGAATGAGTGTATGAGCATTGGTGCATCCATATGCGGTGATAAGAGAAACTGGACTTACATCATGAAGCAGTTGATGTCTGGTTTCCTGCAGATACAGTACAGTGGTGCGTTCTCCCCGTCCATGCTGCTGTTCTCAGGCCCTGGTGCATGGTCAAGGTCAGACATTTCGCTGTCCTGAAAGTACAATATGTATTATAACACACATAACAACTGGTAAACATATAGACAACACCTGCATAACTGACTGCTGAGCTGCAGGACAAGTTTCTCTCAAATAGAGCAGAAGGCTGTTTAAGTGATAAAACCATATATTTTTTTTTTTCACAATACCACTACTTTGAAGAGTAGTTCTGCTGTAATACCGTTTTGCTGCTCAGTATCTTCTCCTATCTAAGTCTCTGCATTGAATTTCCCCAACCATACATTTTCAACAGTATAAGTAAATGAATCTCCTGTCAAATGAAACAGATCCTTCTTCCTGTGCTGTCAGAAAAATGTACACTCCTGTTTCTATAATTGTAGTCAAATACAAACATGTGTATTACACTGTAAGGGCCAGAGCATGGTGTTTAACATTTAAAACTAGGCTTAGGTAGCAGATTTGTATAGCCAACTTTGTTAACTTATCATCCTTTATTTATACTGTATATTATTCATATTGTAATATCCAGCAAGAAAGACTTAAGAATACTGTTCAAAATACTAGTAGTTGGCAAGGTAACCAGCACGTAGAGTAAACGGCAAACTCCGAGTAATAATACAAACTGCTTTGATTATCTTTTACTATCAACATGTATATATTGTACTTGTTAGTTCGGTTTCATTTTCTATTGTGAGATTTGATTATGTTCTACTATCGTTTACTTTATTATTTGCAATGCCTTGTTTACATGCTGCTTTGACAGACAATTGGCATTAATAAAGTCAATCTTATCTTATTATTTTACACACATACTGTATGTTATATGGATCTGTTAGCATGCTAGGTAACATTAGCCAATTAGCATCAGCTGGCTAAAACATCAGTTAACGATGCCAAAGTGGCTTACTTTGCTGTACCACATACGCAGTGAGTTATGAAAAGTACATTGAATTTAGCTAACGCTGTAAAGTCATTGTAAGGCATCATAATGACTTGTATTTAAACGCTAAAAGCTAACTGAGTAGCATCACAACAGTCTCCTCTGGGGTGTAAACTTACGGCCGTTTGACGTTAACGTATTAGTCTTCTTTTTTTAAATTAGCTAACTTTGATAGAAGGTGTTTTTATCGCTTACTTACCATTATGGGAGATCTTCAAACGTTGGATCGTTCACCAATTTTTAATGGAAAGAAAACAGATGCAACACCAAAACAGTGAACGAATTAGCTCGATAGCTAGCGTTCCGCTAAGATGTACACGGAAATAACATCGGTCATAATCGGCTGAACTCGTTACTACTCGTAAAAATACACGAATCTCATTGGTCGTTGGTCATGTGTTCTTCTTCTTCGGTGGCAAATTAACCATCAAACGGTGCACTACTGCCGCCTGTTGGATTGTTTAAGAAATGCGTTTAGTGCGGAAAATACTGTATACTAGCCGCACAAATCAAATCAGTGTTTTTTCTATTATTGTCGTCACAATAATGCTGCAGGGGGAATATATAGAATACAGTTTAAATATGAGGAATATAGGATGATACTAGTTTATTGATAATCATGCTACTATATGTGTACGTTAGTTCCTATTAGATATAAATGTATTATTGTTTTAGGGAAGTCTTGTGCCAGAGATTGGTCAAAAATATAAATAGAACAATATATAATTCACATAAACTATTTAAAATATATGATATTAAAAGTAATATTGCACATTATATCTAAAAAGTTATGTATGTACAGGAGGAGAAATACAGGTGCCTTAAAAAGCAAAAACATTAAAACCATTCATGTTTCTGTTATTTCACACACACACACACACACATACACACACACACACACACACACGCACACACACACACACACACACACACACACACACACACACACACACACACACACACACACACACACACACACACACACACACACACACACACATTCACAAAAAAAAATACACACACACAGATAAAGAGAGAGAGGGAGAGAGAGAGAGAGAGAGGCTGTATGTTGCAGTTAAACCTCCAATGCTGAGATTTCACTGAGGGATGCGTCTATGATAAACGCTAAATAGTGGATCGCATACTTCTACAAAATGTCATGAGAAGTGAGTACAATTTGTATTTTACAATATTCTCCATACAGATAGCAATAGTGAGGGATAACCACTGTAGGCGTTGGATTCCAGTACATGACAGCAATGAATCATATCAGACAAATCTGTTAATTTGACGGCTTTTATCTATTCCTTCGATCTAATAAACTGAATTATAGTTCATTGAATTTAAATCATTTTAACTTGACTCATTCACTTTAACACGATACTACATTATACCATATTTACATCCTCGGTATCACCTACAAATGATTACTGTATACCTAATAGATAATAAGTACAAGAAAGAAAGAAATAGTCATTATGATACAATATTTGAGATAGTTGCCTCGAGGTGTTTTCTGTTTTTTCTGCAAATAAAAAAACCTCTGTCAAGATGCCACAGGAAGTAAGTATTACTTGAAGACATTAATAATTGATGAAAAGTAAAATCAAGGTCTCACATTCTCATATAGCTGTCAGAATATCCCTGTGCTGCCTCTCATCATTGTAAATGTTTTGAAAATGCTGATTAATAATAGATTAACTTCTCTGCCATTTCTGAGATGTCCACTCATCACTAACAGCTATGAAACCTCAACTACACATCTGACTCTGCGGTAGAGAATGATGCGGTTTAATTTCATAATATTAAGTGAATTATAAATAAGGAAGTAAGTAAGTAGTAAAGGTTTAAGGTTATGATTTCTTATGTTTCATTCACAGACATAAAAAAGGCAGGCCGATGCATTTAAAAAATGAATATTAACAATGAACAGACACAATTATCATATATATATATATAAATGAAAAGATATGAGTAAAATAAGAATAAAAAATATATATATATAACTGTTTTATTTTATAGTTTGTCTCAGATTAAACGGTCCTGATTTGTTGTCTTTCATTTACCGAGCTTGAAGCAGGATGGATGGAAAACTGGATTGTCTAGCTCTGAATGGAAAGATGGAAGATGTAAATGAAGTCAAACCAAACATCTGTGACTCACCGACCGATGCTTCTGAGCGTCCCATTTTACCTGACGACTCCATTGCAGGTAAATTCACAAAAACAGGGTTTTGTATGATTTTAAATCAAATGAGTTATCATTCAATTAGGATAGTCTAGAAAATACCACAGTGACGCAATACTGCATAAATGTCACAAGTAAAATCCTGATTTGAAAATGTTACTTAAGCAAAAGAACAAACATTTAAGCATAAAATATATTCAAAGTACAAAAAGTAATATCAGTCGTTCTGCAGAATGGCCCATTGCATTCTGTGTATCATATATTTGTGTTATTATTGAAGGTTTAAGGTGTTTTTTGCAGCTAGTGACGGTGAAGCTAAACTCATTACTATAAAGATTGCTTTGTCACTTGTGAATTTTCTTGAAGTATTAAAGTCTCATTAATGCAAAGTAAGTTACTCAAGCTTTCAGATAAATGTTCAAAATGTCAGTAACTACCTCTGAATTGTTATGGAGTAGAAGTATAAAGTATCAGAAAATCAAAGTACTCAAGTCAAAAACAAGTAGCCTATACCTTAAAATACTTAGGTACACTACATTTATTTTCCACCACTGTTTGACTCTTTGGTAAAAATGAAATGTTCTTTTCTCACAGCGTCTTTGACTGAAGTCACCATTTTTTCAGAGCAGATCTCCTCCGAAGACTTATCTTTAACTGACATCCCTATGAATGTTTTCCCAACAGTAATAGGTACCTTCATCTCTGAACTCTTTTGTTAATCGCTATCTTTTTTTATGCAGTTTTGATGAAGATTTGTTTAATTTTTATGTCCGGTGCAGATACCACCTTGCATAAAAACCCAAAAGGAGGCGAGAGCGTAGATGTGTTCCCCTGCAGCTCTGTGGAGCCGCCGCGGCCCTCCTCCATGGAGGCCTGCACTGTGCAGGAAATGAGTCAGACGTTCACTTCCATCAGCCGGAGTCAAGACAGCCTCAAAACCACCACCACGGTCCACACCGAGCCCGATGCTGACGGTAAGGACACACTCTTTAGTAATGGTAACAGATAAACAGTGTATGACAGTTACATATATATGAATATAATGTGACAGTTTGATGAGATGACACTACCAGCTCACACACACAAATAAGTATACTGATATTGAATAAATAGACACAAACGTTTTTTTTTAGGATCCCCTCCAACATTTTGAATTACAAGGTAGTCTGATATACAGATAAAGAAAACACCCATAAAATGCCAAGCATGTTTATTGTCCAGCCCCCACTTCAGGGCTAATTGTGTCCCATTTTATGTTGTGTTGTACCACCTTGTAATGGTTTGTGGCTAAATTCAAAATAATTTGGCTTTACAATGTATATTTTAGAAACCTTATAGGGGCCCTATTGTGCTTTGAGGGGTTTTTACCTTTCCTGTAGTGTGTTATATAAAGTTGTTGTGCATGTAAAGGGTCTGCAAAGGCTAAAATCCCAAAGTTCACACACTCTCCCCCTGTCTGAAACGCCTCCATTGAACTCCTGGAACATAGTGACCTATCACCTCATAACACGTGTGCTTCTATTGGGTAGCGCTCCGACACATTGTACGTGATAGGCTAAGGGGTGGGACACTTTTAAGCGGTTGATCAATCACAACAGAGCCGGCCAGCTAACCAATCAGAGCAGACTGGGCTCTGGTTTCAGACAGAGGGTGAAAAGAGGTGCTGCAGCACAGGCAGTATGAGAAAATAAAGAGCTTTTTGAACATTAAAGCATGGAGACATGTCCCAGTAGAGACACAAACTACAAATACAAACCTGAAAATGAGCTTCATAGGACCCACTAAATGTTTTTTTCTCAAATTGAAGCATCCTTGTCTCTCTTTTCCTCTTTCCCCGAGACCTTTGTGCTGCAATCCTTCTGTCCTGCCTGTTCTGTCACCCTCTGGACTGTTTCCTGGCGGTGATGAGAGGCTGTAACGGCTGCATTTGGTCTCTGTGCTCGTGCCTCTGCGGCTGCGAGCCCAGCACCCTGCAGCCCCTCCTGGACGTCACCCGGAGCGGTGACCTCTGCGGGTGTCTGGGTGTTCGCTGCTTCCTGTGCGACTGTCCCACCTACGACATCTGCCTCCAGGCCACCGAGTGCCTGGACCTCGCCATGGAGATCTCCCAAATGCTTTACCACTAAACGCAGCCAATAACCACAGACACACAGGAAATATACATAGGAATCATTTATTTGTTAAAATCTTTTCCGAAAGCCAACTTGTAGGGACACAAATGCTACCAGTTCATGGTTAACAGTCAATGTTAGCACTCAGATAAATGTCAAGGTAGGACATGGTTAATATATGGAGGAGGGGGTTAAGTATGAGCGGTAAAATCTCTCATCTTATGGGACTAGGGACAACGCAGTTTTGAAGCACTTAGCCATGTAGCAGAGCTCAGAATCAATCAATCTAACCACCAAATAGTTAGAATATATTTGGCTGCTGAGTAGTTTAAAATGTATGCAAGTCAATAACTTGGAGGTTGTGTCGGAGGAAAATAAAAATCAGTCTGTCAGTGTTTTAAAAAAACGAAATTTTTAAACTCACATTCATTTACTGTACACAAGGTCGCGTAAAGCATCTGACAAATTAAAATGCCTTTCTAAACGTTGTGGCTATTTTATTGAGTAATAATTGCATTGCAGGTTTCACACGACTAACGGTTATACCTTATCGTTACAGACGTGAGGCTAGTGGTTGGTTTAAAAGAAAGTCAAAGCCCTCTGAATTCAAACTACAATGAGCGATAATAAACTATTAGATGCATCACTGTTGATCGTCCAAAAAACGAAATAAAACAGAAGCCATAATCTTTGTAGAACCAGTCAAATCACCCAGTGACAAACAACGACTGACAACACAGATATTAGTCAGAAGAGGCGACTTATATTAAGGTATAAAAGTGTAATGAACTACAGTACAGTTGTAAAAGATGAAATTGTTCTCATTCTGTCTTGCATTTCCATTGACTGCGTGAATATATTCAAAAATAAAAAACGCTGATTTGTAATAGCTACTCTGGAAGAAGTCCTGCTTTGGCTAGCTAGCTGCAGCAGCGAGTGATTTTCCATTGCTTTTAAATGTTATTACAAATACATGCAACCCTGGGCCGTATCCGTCCACCGTGTGTGATAGTAATAAAAACAGACAAAAGCTCTCATAAAATGCATAGACTGCCTTCAAATAAGGTGCAATAAAACTGCTCAAAATAAAATATTCTTATATACAATATGCGGTAAATATTTCACGATGTGCCAATTCACTTTACATAGATCCCTTCTGTAGCTGCTGGTGAGACAAACCAACATGGAGCAGCTGCTATAAACAAACCCTGATTCCAGTCATTTAAAAAAAAAAAAACGAAATATAATTTGTTTGTTAAAAAATAAACCTCACAGCTTTCTTCCCTAAGTATGAGCATATAATAAATTCAAGCAAACTTTAAAATCCCTCTTATATCTCTGAAGTAAAATCTATTTATAGAATGTGTTATCGCTTGCCCCTATTATACAATATTACATTTCTTAATAAGATTGCATTTAAAAACCCAGACATAATCATCTGAACAGCTCCACACAGGAACAATAATCATAATAATAAGGTCTGTATGGCGAAATTAGGAATAACGTACTTTGTCCAATGTTTGTTAGTTTTGATCTTATTGTTTCAGTCCTATAAACAGACTTGTGTTATTTTGGGATAGACGTCCCAGCCTTCTCGTCCCTACAGACTGTCTCTGCCAATCAAAGAGCTCATCATAAGTCCTCGTCCATCTCCAGGCTGCTCCTGCGACTGCTTGTTTTCGAGGCACAGGGTGACAGAGGGGAGAAGAAAGACTCCCCCCCCCGATCCAGGGTGCACCCGTCGTCCATGAGAATGTCTCCCAAGCTCACGTCGGGGTAGAACTCCGAGGCCGAGGCGTCGTCCAGCTCGGCGAAGCTCAGGCTGCCCAGGTCCAGGGGGCTGCTGAGGGTGACCCCCACGGGAGAGTCTGAGGAGGGGGGGGACAGGAAGGAGGCCGGGAGGGGCTGTCCGACGAGGCCCAGGAGGCTCTGGGAGGAGAGTCCACCGGCGCTGGGAAGCTGGCCGCTCTGAGGGAGCTGCTGCTGCTGCTGCTGCTGCTGCTGCTGCTGCTGGAGCAGGGGGGGGTCGGGGCTCAGCCCGCCCAGGCCGCTCAGCCGCGCCTGCATCTCCAGCTCCTGGGAAAGAAAGACGGTGGGATTTTTACATGCAGATGCAAAAGAGTGGTGCAGGAAAGAGTTCTAAAATGAGGAAATGAGTTAGCATTTTACCATTTCCATTTCCATTACGTTACATTTCATTTAGCTGAAGCGTTTCAATCCAAAGCCGAACAATGAGTGCAATAAACCATAAAGATACTAACTCAGAACAACAGTGCAGGTCCTGTATATCCGCTAGATAGAGAGGAGAAGTCCCTCCCCTTCCTGTTGAGCTCCATGGGACCTTATTTCGGAAAAAGTATGCATTGAAGTCAATGGCGAGAGAAAGATTATCTTTCGATCCCGTTTGAATTGTGCCACGAATTACACATATGATGTTTGTCAATTTAAAAGATAATTTTGCAAGTCAAAAAAATTAAAATGTGTCGTAAAACTGTGAAGTAACACTTTTTTTGGTGTGAAACTGCTCAATGAACTACATCTCCCGTCTCGCACCACACACCAAGACGGCCTTCACGTTGGCACATTTCACTTCTTTCTTTCAGAATGAGGCGAAAAGTATTAAAAGAGGTGAAAATCACTCCAAGTCTGGGCATGTTGAGAGCTGTACATACACACAAGGGGAGTTAGTCGGTTCCTAAGAGCCAGCATGCGGGACCGGGATTCTGGGATTTGTAGTCTTTCTAGTTGCGTATTTTTCATAGTCTTATATTTCAACAGTTTTACGACAAACTGACTTTTTTGACATGCATGATTTTTTAAGATTGACAAACATCATATGTGTAATTCGTGGCACAATTCAAACGGGATCGAAAGATAATCTTTCTCTCCCCATTGACTTCAACACATCATTTTTCTGAAATAAGGTCCCATGGGTCGGAAGTAAGTGCCTGTTTCCAATAGGCACATTTTCACTTTTTTTTGTATTTACTGGCCAAGGTACAAGCGATCCAGGTGGGACGAAAGATTGGTTGACCTTCTGCTGTCATGATGTCCATGGGGAGCCATGAAGTTATGCAACCGTCATTTCGTTGTTTTATAGCCTAACGATAACTTTTGACTTCTAGACACTGCATTAACGCTTTAGAAAGTATCAGAAGTGGTGTAAATATGTGAAGATTATCCTGCTGAAGAAAACATATAAGTAAGATATTTGTGTGTTGGTCAAAGAGTTATTTTCCACAAGTAACATTTCCTTTCTTTTAGCCTTTGCATGCTAACTTCTGGGTCAGCCTACAGTAATACGTCATCACTTCACCACTTAATATCCTGAATTGACTGAAAATTAAGACATTTTAGTGTGAATAATCTGCTACAATAATCAACATCGTCACACTTTATGGTGCATTACCACCAACAACTTTCCATAAATTGGATTAAATGACATCTCCTCCCACATAAGGCATGGCCAGGAACATTTCAGAAAACAGGAGACAGTGTGACTTGCAGACCTATCTATAAAAAAGTATATGATTCCTGCTCCTGAAAACAGGAACAGCTTAATATGTTTGGATCTCTGTATTCTGCAGACATTTCTTTATCACATAGGTCTGTGTTTGAGCACTTGCAACAAGCAGTTTATTGGACTCACTTATCACTGTGGCCAGATTTAACTACAACACCGAGTGGAGCAGCTGTTGTTTTTCAAGTCTTGGATACGCCTCCCTCTAACACAGCTGACAAACAAACACTGACCTGGATGCGTAACATTAGACTGTGGTTTGCAAGCTCAAGCTTTTTCTGACGCATATCGATATCCTTGGCTCTCTGCTGCTCCTTCTGCAACTTCCTGATGTAGTCGACGGAGGCTTTCAGGATGGTGCCTTTATTCCAGCGCATTTCGCTGACATCATTGTGATATCAGTAAACATATATTGTAGAGGCAGGAGGGAAAGGAAACACAAGGAAGAGCAAAGGAGATTTTTACTACACAACAGTTGCAGGGAGCTTAGAGTGTACAAACCAAGTGGGCGTGGCCACTAGACATTTTTTTAAAGGTCCCATGTCATGCTTTTCCGGTTATTACCCGTCCCCTTGTGTGTTATGTAGCTTTGTATGCATGTAAACGGTCTGCAGAGTCAAAAACCCTCAAAGTACACCCTGTAGCGAGTAAAACTCTAACACAGAAAAGACCTGTCTATGCTGCCCCAGAACGCCTCGTTGGAGATTCCTCTTTTTCCATTTTTTTTTCCTGGGTATGGTGACGTAACCATACCCAAATGGAGGGGGGGGGGGGGGGTGCTAGTGGAGCCCCACAGCGGCGAAACTGTGGCGCGCTTACACTGTAGGTGCGCCACGTTTGGGGGGGGATGCTGCAGCCCCCTCAGCAGTCCCCCCTTCCCACGCAGCAACCAGGAAACCACACCAGTAAGCCAGCTCACACTGTCCGCTCCTCACAGCAGCGAGCCGCGCAACGTCCCGCCAACACAGCACCCAGACCCCACGCAGCATTCTCATCTGTTTGTCATTACTGGTGTCATTTTCTGGTTGCTAACGCCATTGTAACACATAATCACTGATGTTCCGCTGTAACGGTGGTGGACTCATCAGAACAGAGTGGGCGAGCTGACCAATCAGAGCACAGTGGGCTCATAGGGAGGGGGGTGCAGGAGCTCCAACAAGCCGTTTAGGACAGAGAGTGAAACACATACTATAGAGAGATGCTGTATGAGAAACCAATGTGAGTTTGGAACATTGAACAATGTAAATTGTTTTTGACTCTGCAGACCGTTTACATGCATAAAAACCTTCATAACACACAAGGGGACGGGTAATAACCAGAAAAGCATGACATGGGACCTTTAACATCACAGAAGCTACGGCCATTGTTTTTTTTATGTCAGGGTCTCAATTTTAAAAATAATAATTTCATATATTTCCGCAAAATTCCTATCCTGAAGAAAATCAAACTGTGCTTACGAGTCACTTGACTTGGGTATCAGCGTGCCCAGCTCCTT